GTTAAAATAAGATCTGGGTTCCACTTTTTTATAAACGAAACAGTTTGATAAAAACGACATATTAATTTCGGTAAATGAGGGAGTACTTCCCCTAGCCCCATAACGCTTAAATCTGACATGGGAAATAGAGAAGAAACACCTGCCTTTTGCATTTGAGGACCTGCAATTCCTTGGATTTCTAAGGGAAAAGAGGCTTCTCTTTTAATCACCTCAATAAATGAAGCCCCTAAGAGGTCCCCTGAAGCTTCTCCTGCAGAAATAAAAAGGCGCTTTGGGAGAACCATTTTTATGTTTCTCCTCGCATATCAACAATAAAGAACCCTTCTTTTTCGGCCTTCCTTATCAAGCTTTCCCGATCGATTAAAATGACAGAGCCTGCCTCCAAAGCCATTCCTTTTAAGCCAACTCTCACACCGTGATCAACTGTATCAGGGCCCACAACAGGCAAATCTGCTTGCCTTGTTTGAGCTTTCTTTGCTGCTTTTACTAAAACAGCCTCAAAAAGCTGAGGGTCAACATAAGACTGCACACGATCAATCAAGGCATTCGTTCCTTCTACAGCCTCAATTCCTAAAACAATCCCTTTTTGAACAATAATGGATTGCCCCACGTCTTGATTTCCCAGCGCATTCAAAACAGCAAAGCCACGTTTGATATCTTCTATATTTTCTGCTGTGGGGCCAAAAGAAGTTAAATTCCCTTCTGTCATCATATCTTGAGAGGATAATACATCCTCCACACTTAAAAGATTAAAACCTTCACTTTCAAATTCCTTTGTCACGGCTCTTAGCAAACCATCATCACGGAAAAAGTGTGGCGTAATACGCATCAACCATTTTGCCCCTAGACGATCTACTGAAAGATCTCTCAATTTGGGACGTTGCACACGACCGCAAAAAACAAGATCTTTAACGTCATGCTGCCTTAAAAAAGCAAGCCCTTCTTCAACATTCCCAAAAGGGGTTGTCATAAAAGGGACGTTTTCTGGAAGAGTTGATGAATCAAAAAAACCCTGTAATCCTAAGACACAGCAAGGGCGACTTTGTTGTAAGCACGCCTCAACAACTTGACAAGGCAATTTTCCTTCACCTGCAATAATTCCAAGGCATTTCTCTTTATGCTGCCGCATTATCAATTTGCTCAGATTCCACTTTTGGTAAACATAAAGGACGCCCCGCATTGGCGATAAAATCTGTTAATTCTACCACACGACTGTCGTTAGCAAATTCCTTACGTGCCGCATCAACACGATCTGCCAAAGGCTGAACCCGATCCTCAAAGATGTTTCTATAAGCTTGGCGTAGACGCACAATTTCATCACGCCCTAAGCCACGTCGTTTCATCCCCACAAGATTTAGGCCATCCAAAGCAGAATGATCCCCTTTCACAAAACCATAAGGGATAACATCGTTTGCAATGGCAGCTGTTCCCCCAATCATAGCGTAAGGACCAATACGAACAAATTGGTGTACTGCAGCCAATCCCCCAATAATCGCATAGTCACCAATTTCTACATGACCCGCAAGAGTTGCATTATTCGCCATCACAACATAGTTCCCAATAATACAATCATGGGCAATATGTGCCCCAACCATAAGCAAGCAGTCATCGCCTACAACAGTCTTCATTCGGTCATCTTTTGTTCCGGGTTGGATCGTCACATATTCTCGAATACGGCACCGTTTTCCAATAATTGTTTGGGATTTTTCCCCTGAATATTTTAAATCCTGAGGAGGATGACCAAGGGAAGCAAAAGGATAAACAATGCTATCATCACCAATGGAAGTAATTCCATCCAGGCTCACATGAGAGACCAGTTTAACACGGTCTCCTAAGATTACATCAGGCCCTACACAACAAAACGGCCCTATGGAAACACCTTTTCCAAGGGTCGCCTTTGGATCCACAACCGCACTCGGGTGTATTATTGTCTTTTCAGTCATAGGGGAATTTTATTGGCTTTCGCCTCAAAAGTCTCGCTCTTAAAAATGACGAAACATTACGGCTTTCAAGAGGTTAATGTTTTTTAATGGGAAAAGAGTACCGTTAAAGAATTGTACATTTACAGGAGCGACAAACAATTGAAATCACTGTCTTTTTCAAATAGAAAGTTTTGTTTTTTTCGCTCTTTTGACTGCCATTTTTCATGGGAACGTTTTCGCTTCAACATTTCCATCCGCAGCAACGGCCTCTGAAGCGAATGCATTTAACGCGCTTTAAATTTTACCCTAGAACCCGTTGCAGAAAAAAACATCCGTTTTTGGGTCGAGCATAGAACAATAATGAAGCGCTCAAAGCACAAGGACTTGTCATAAGAGTATCCTTCCAGCCCCTTAGATTTGCAAAGCATTGCAAACAGTTTGTGCTTAATAACATCTTGCAGTGCTTGTTTCGTAACAGATGACTACCGTAAAAAGCGAATAATGAATGGGTACCGATATGTTTCTCCATTTGATACTT